TTATAGTAAGTGGCCGGAAATCCATTTGTGTGGCGTTGTGACCACCTCAACCGTTATACGGTGGCTGAAACATCTGTTTGCTAGATTTGGGTTTCCTGAGGAAATTGTGACAGACAACGGACCACAATTCACGAACTATGAGTTTAAACGTTTCTTACAACTTCGTGATGTGAAGCACGTACATACTGTCTCGTACAACCCAGCTGCCAACGGCATGGTTGAGCGCACTAATCTCACGCTAAAGGAAACTATACAGACAGCACGTTTGTCCGGCAGGCAGTGGGAAGATGCCGTTTTGGAGGCTCTGTTTACTCACCGAACATCGCACCACAGAGCGACTGAGCGCACGCCAGGTGAGCTGATGTTTGGCAGGGAGTTGCGTACGAACTTAAACGCAGCTAGTTCGGCTGCAGAAAACAACGACCCCCACCAACTGGAACGTCGCCGGGGTTATCAGTCATCCTACGAAAAACGGGCCACATTGCTGCGTCCTGGAACGTTGGTCAGGATAAAGGAGAGTCAAACACAGAAAGGAGAACCGGCACTGACGAGACCCATCAGAATTACTCGTGCGCTAGGGCCAGGAACTTATGAGTTAGCAGACGGCCGACGAGTCAACGCCAGACAGATATATTCAGCACTTCAAAAGAAGCAGTGTCCTGAAACGAGGGCCACCGCAGTGAAGCAATCGCTGAAGAGGGGGAGTAGTGTGGCAGCGCGTACGCGCGGGCCTTACCACGACCGCGCTTCGTAGCTTGCGCTTGGTTGCCTGTCCGTTCGCGATCCATACCAGGGTTGTTTTGAATGTACTGAGTGTACGTACCGTTGGCGTGAATAGAAGTTTGTGTTGCGTACCAGTAGAGTTCTGATTCCTCGTTCGGGGCTTTGGTCGTGCTTGTTCAAGACCCTGCGTGCAGGGGACTAGTGTACGTGTAGATACAACAGCATGCAAGCACACGGTTAGTAAATCCAATGCAGCGTGCCTAAAAGCGCTGCGCCGGTTCTGCCTATTTTCTCTGCAGGAACCGTCGTCACTTCGGTACTGGTCCCGAGTGGCCTCGCTCATGGCTTACTAGACCAGCCTGACTCAGGCACTCGCGATCGCATGTGCTACAGCACCATTCGCTTGATGTCGACGGAGTAAAACCCATCGGTGCTCGTCGCTTCCGCACTTGCTGCTTCTTTGCATGTATAAGGTCTTTCTCCCGCACTTCGGCAACTGCCTTCGTGATTAGCTCGCGCCATGCACGCTGATCAACCGCCTTCGATTCCCATGACCTGCAATGAAGATTAGAACGTGAGAGGCTCACCGTGATCATGTCCTGGAAATGTAGCTTTGGTTTCCTCACATGCCGCTTCCCAATACTCAGCTGACCATATAAGAGTTGGTTCGTTATCCGCGTCGAATGCATATGCCACACATGACCGAGCCACCTCAGGTGTCTCAGCAAAAGTATGCATTCCGCTGCATACATTCCACTTTGTCGCAACACTTCCGTGTCAGAAACTCTGTCTCCCCAAGTCATGCGCAAATTTCGTCGCAAACACTGCTGATGGAACCGCTCAACATATCGCGCATCCCACCGGTACATCGTCTACGTTTTACTGCCGTATAGAAGAACGGCCAGCATCATGGGTTTGTACACCATCAGCTTCGTGCTAATAGTAAGCTGATGGTTGTTCCACACTCGGTAATCAAGGTTCCCGAATGCCGCCGCTGCCTTCGATACGCGGATACGAAGCTCATTGTTTATCTGCTGACCAGTCGACATCACACCCGCAAGGTAGCAGAAGGGGGACGTGGTTTCCAGTACTTAAGCACCAATGCTGATTCGCGGCATTATTGAAGATTGCACTTCCGCTAAAGGCTGAAATATACAGACAATTTTGCTTGTGTTGATAGTGAGCCCGAATTTGGCCGCTGTCGAAGCCAGAGCACTAGTCATGTGCTGCAACTCATCCGCGCTGTGTGCAAACAACGCACAGTCGTCAGCAAACAGCAACGTACGGATAATTGTCTCACAGACTAGAGTTCTCGCATCAAAACGACGGATGTTCAGCAACCCACTATCAATACGGTGCTTCACACGAACGCTGTAAGCACAAGCGGCATCAAGAGCGCAATACATCATTGCCTGAAGATATATAATAAACAGGGAAGGAGCTAAGACACAGCCTTGCTTCACAACAGAGATAACTGCAAAGTCATCCGAGGTCTCTCCACTCAGCTGCACCCTCGTTCGCATGCCACTGTGCAGACATTCAAGTAAACTTACAAACTTACGCGGGCAACCAAACTTACCCTACACTAGACATAATGCCTCGCGGTTCACCGTATCAAATGCCTTGGTGAAATCAACAAAAAGCGAGTACAACGGCTGGTGTCGCTCTCTGTACTTCTCCTGCAACTGTTGAGCTGCAAACACCACATCTATATTGCTGCGACGCGAGCGGAATCCACACTGCTTTTTCGCGCGTTGCATCAGCGACCCGCAGTTTGGTATGAACCGTAGGTAAAAGTTGACAAGCCCATCGAAACGTTTAAGCGGTTTGAAAGAATGAGGCTCATGGTAGTCGATGCTAGCTTGAGTTTTATCCTGCAGTGGCACGACGCTTGTAGGGGAGATACCATGGCCGAGGAAGTTGACTGAATCGACAAAAAATGAACCCATTTCTGCCTTGATCGTCAACCACTGTTGAGATAACCGATCAAAAAGTGTTCGTACGTAGCGCATATGTTCTTCACGTGAATAGCTCGCGATTAAAATGTCGTCGAGAAAAGCGTAAACGAAGCGCTGAAAAGTTTGCGCGGCATTCCTTAGACCAAATGACATGCGCAGGAATTCGAACAAACCAACTGGAGTTGTCAAGGCAGTTTTAGCTATGTCTCCTTCGGCTACCGGAATTTGGTTGTATGCGCGTACCAAGTCGATATTGCTGAAGATATATTTACCTGCTAGCCTGGCGGTAAGGTCCACGATGTGTGGAATCGGATAGCGATCTGCGTGCTAAGCGTATTCAAGCTTCCATAATCACTGCAATGCCGCCAGTCCCCATGACATTCTTCGGGACCATGTTCAGAAGCGACTCCCATGTGCTGTTGGACGGTCTGACGATACCGAGCTGAATCATGTAGTCGAACGCAGCTGCTGCTGCACGTAGTTTGTCAGGAGCGGGTCATCTTGAACGCGCTAACTGGTGGCCTACATGTGTCTACGTGGTGAGCGACCTATATGGTGACTCGCGGAAGCTCTACAGCAGGTCGTACCAGTCGCGGGTATTCAGACAGTAGGTTCGCATAATTTGATAAGGATTCAAGAAACGGGAGTGACAATTGGGGTATCCGTAAGAATGCCTTTTACCCCTAGTTTAGTACGGCCGTCTAAAAGTCCCTGGCGACCAGCATCAACAGGCAGCCCAAAATGTCGGTGAAAGTTAATACCGATAATTGCGAAGGGTAGAGACGCAACCATGAAGACCCACTGAAAATCTCGGCGAAGATTGAGGTCCGGGTTAATCATGCATTGACTGAATGAAGCTGTCGGAGAACCGTTGGCCGCCTGCAAATTGTACGTAGGCTCTGCATGTTTGTCGTTCGCGTTCGCTGGGATGACGCTGACTACCCGCTCCCGTGTCGATTAGGAACTTGATGGAAGAACGTCGATCCTAAACGAAGAGCAGACAATTTGCTTGGTTATTGACCGGTACGTTGGTAGTGCTAGTGTGCGGGCTATTCGGTTTCCCTGAAGCGGTTGGGTCGTGCCTAATGTAGGGAGCCCGACAACGTCTAGCTCTTCCACCGTATTGACAGTGGCAACAACATACTTCTTCGACGGGTTTGGTTTTTTCTGACTGAGAAGGTGCAGGGAAAATGTCGCGCGGTCAGCGTTTTACCGTGGCACAGGCTGCTTCGAAGCCTTCATTGCTGCCATCCTACAGCGAAGCAGCGCAATTTTCTCATCTGTAGGGTCAGATCAGCCTGACGACTGGGATCAAATAAAAGACTCGGTTTTCATCGGTGAGAATACGTCACTGGAGCTACTGGTCGTCTGCTGCGGAAAACGTTCGAACGCAGCGTCTGCCTTGGTAGCTACTTCTTTCAGGGGCGCACCTATAAACGAGGACAGCAGTACCGAGAATGTCTCTGGGAGACGTGCAAACCACAGTTTCTTTATCCCTTCTTTGCTTAAGAATAGGGGACAAGCGATGCGCTGCATTTCGCGGAGCAACGCCGACGGCTTGCAATCTCCAAGCCGATAATCACTGAGCTGTTTAAATGGAGCTCTTGCGCTGGGCTGTAACTGTTTTAATATCGCTCGCTACATCGTTTCATACTTTGCCTCCTTCGATGGGCAGAGTAGAAGGTCCTCATTCAGCGTCACAACAGACGAAGGAAGACGTGCGACGAGCTGATTGTACCTCGGACAGTCTGCTGTAATGCCCTTTGTTTCTAGTTTGATCTCGAATATCCTAAAGCAAACCTCTGGGCTGTGTTCCATGAAACTTGGAACCGCAAAGTAAGAAAGTTTACACTGCGAAACGACTCAACTGCCACATTTGATATATGAGTCGAAAAGATAAATGATGAACAAAAACACGATAAAAGTACTAACATTGCGCAAGAAACAAATGAATACACTTATACAATCGAGAAAAAAGCACGAACTCACCACGGTATAAACAAGAGGAATAAGAGTTGAACATGCGCGTGCGAATCGGGGTCATCAATTCGTAGAACTAGTAAATACTAGTCCGGGACGGTGCTCGAAAGTATGCGCGGATATCAGAAGGCAATTAGGGTCAGACACAGGGAACTCTATTTGATGGGCTACAAGAAGACGCAGACGGATAAAGCAAGGCAGGTGGTATACATTAGCGCGGGAACTTACAAGGCGATCGAGTGTCGAGCCGATTATAAGGACGATTAAAACAAGAAAGAATAATGTACAATTAATCAACAATTAAGTAGTACATGAAACATAGTGGTTATGTTTTTAGGCGCTACAAAGGATGATCGAGGGCTCCAAATGGAAGTCTGGGCTTGGTCGCTTGTTGGACGTGGGCTTGACGAGAGGACAGGAATGACGCTCTGCGTTCACATGTAAGTTGAAATTAGCAACGCAAGGTGTGGGAGGACCAAGAATTGGGAAGTTGAATACAGGAAGTATAAAAGTGAAACTGGAACGGGACCATAAGGGACAAAATGCGTATGAGGAAGAATAAGAAGACGGAAAATCTTGAGCAGTAGCATCCAAATCCATATCCACCCTGATCGATGCAGCAGTTCGGACACCATTGATTATCCCCTGCAGTAGCCAGAGCATCAAGAAACTGCTTGAAGAGAAATTCGTTGTATTGCGTGGGTAGGATACTGTCAGGTTGCCCAGGCCTAGACAGGAAAACGATTAGGTTTCTTAACCAAAGCCTGCAGTCAGCGAATTGGCGTTGGGATACAAAGCGTCCATTTAAAGGAATAAAGAGCCACTTCAGTCCACCCCAGTCTGGAGGACCAGGAGGCTGAGATTGTTGGGCCTCTGAACCTTGACCAATCTGGTATAAGTGGCTCTGATGGTGCAAAAAATGCACCACCCAACATAGCTCAATGGATCGCTGAGGAACACAAACAATCGCACCACGGTAAGATCCAGCCTCATTACAACGCGTTTACTGGATGCATAAACGCCTGAATGAGACAAGCCGTGCAACGTGTCAAATACGGCCTGTCGAAACTCTCATGAGTCTTGGCGTGCCCAGTGATTAACCGCAAATATAGTCCGGTCTGATGATGTCAACGGAATGAGTCGTATGTCCAGTGAGGAAGACTTGCGAATTACATCAACCTGAGAATCATTGTGTTGCGCTGCGGCCATGGCTGACAAGTCGGTAGCGGTGCCAGCGTCTGCAGAGATCGATTGAATTCGGGAAAGTACATCAGCGACGTGTCGTACATCGGTCTTAAACTGCACGATAGTCTAGGTAACGCGACTCTAAGAGTGTATCGGTCGGTAGTCGAGCTAAGCACGTAAGTCCAGCGCAATGAGGCTGGACCTTACCGTGGTGCGATGGTTTGTGTGCCTCAGCGATCCATTGAGCTACGCTGGGTGGTGCTTTTGCACCTTCAGAGTCACTCATACCAGATTGGTCAATGGTTAGAGGCCAGACAAACTCAGCCTCCTGGTCCTCCAGGTTGGGGGTTGGAATGAGGGTGGCTCCTTATTCCTTAAAATGGACTCCTTGTAGCCCAACGCCAAACCCGCTGCCTTGCGGTCAGGTTTTTGAACCAAAGGCTTTGGTTGAGAACCCTAATCGTTCTCCTGTCTAGGCCTGGGCAACCTGACAGTATCCTGCCCACGCAATACTATGAATTTTCCTTCAAACAATTTCTTGATGCTCTGGCCACCGCAGAGGATAATAAACGGTGCCCTATCTGCTGCATCGAGCAGGGTGGATAGGGGTTTGGATGCTACTGCTCAAGCCTTCCCGTCTCCTTATTCCCCCTCTTACGCTTTTTCACTCTTACCGTCCCATTCCAACTTCACTTATATCCCCCAGTTTTCAACCCCCCGATTCTTGGCCCTCCCCAAACATGCTTTGCTAGGCATTTACCTTCTAATTTCAACTCACACGTGAACGCGGAGCGTCACTCCTCTCCTGTCGACAAGCCCATGTCCAACCAAGCGGTCCAATCCAGTTCATCGGCTTCCATTTGGAGCCCTTGATCCTCCTTCAGATTGGCATGCCTCAATGTACGCACACTGCTGCAAATCGGTCAACAGGCAGCACTTGCCCGAACATTGGAGACCCTCTCGATCGATATCTGCTGCTTATCAGAGACTCGCCTGCAAGACTCGAGCACTGTGCTCACTCTGCGATCCCCTTCAGGGGACGCAAGCAGTATTTTCTCCTTGCGCCTATCCGGTGACGATGCAGCTTCGAGCACCGGCCAAGCCGGTGTTGGTATTGCCCTGAGTCCCCGGGCTGAAGCTGCTCTGGTTGATTGGATTCCAATCAGTAGCCGGATGTGTGCGGCTCGATTGGCTGGCTCGTTCAAAGCTTCGAAGTCACGTGGGACCAACAGGTGTCTATTCATCATCGCTGCCTATGCGCCCACAAACTGTAGCGATGATTCGGTAAAGAACGACTTCTACCGCCAACTGACCCAGCTCCTTCGCCACAGAAGAAGCACGGACACTGTTGTGCTGGCGGGGGATATGAACGCACAAGTTGGAAAGTTGTCCACTGATGAACTGCATCTGGGCGGTCAACACGGTGTAGGCTCCCGTAATGATAACGGTGAGCGGTTACTTCATTTGTGTGAAGATGCTCGCTTATTTCTTGCGAGCACTAATTTCCGACACAGCACCCGCCGAAGGGTGACTTGGCGCCCACCAACCTCGAAGCAGCCTTGCACGCAGATCGATCACATTGCGATAAGTTACCGCTGGAGAGGCTGCATCCAGAATTGTTGCTCGATTTGGAGCACATGTGTGGACACCGATCATGCACTTGTATGTGCTGACATGCGGATGCGTTTTGGCGGACGCCCACGACGACGCTGTGAGCGTATTGACACCAGCCAACTGACAAAACCAACTGTTCTGGATGCGTATCGAAGTACGCTAACATGCGAGTTGAGCAAGCGCTCACAGGAGACAATTGATGGTCACTGGTCACATGTTCGCCAGACCTTACTAGCAGCAGGCAAATCCTCATGTGGTATGTCTAATAGACAACATGGACATTGGGTCTCTTCGCAGTCTCTGGAACTTATAGATGCTCGCCGGCAAATCCCGGCTGGAAGCGAGCACAATGAAACTCGCAAAGTGCTCCGGGCAAAACTCCGTGCTAGCCTGAAGAGAGACCGCGAATCTTGGTGGTCTCATCGTGCGTCAGAGATGGAAGTGGCCGCTGCCCTTGGCAACCATCGTAAGTTATTCCGTCTGATACGGGAAACGGGCAGCAGGAGACCTGGTGTTAGTGAAACTATACGTGACGAGAGTGGACAGCCTATCCACAATTTGTCAAAACGTCTGGAGCGTTGGGCTGAGCATTTTGAAAAGCAATTTAATCGGCAAGAGTTGTTCGATTCGCCGGTCACTGATCGCCCCGCTCCGTGGGCTGTCCCTTTGGATCCACCCTCTCGCTCAGAAGTCGAACTTGAGATCGGGCTGCTGAAGTTGAACAAAGCCGCGGGACCAGATGATCTTCCTCCAGCCCTCTTCAAATTTGGAGGCTCTGCTCTTGTTGATGCTTTGCATGAATTACTAGTGAAACTGTGGGAGCAGGAAACTGTCCCAATCGACTGGAGCCGTTCCGTTATTGTTCCCATCTTCAAAGGCGGCTCGCGCTCGGAATGCGGCAACCATAGAGGAATCAGTCTGATCTCCATCGCCTCCAAATTACTCGCGTCCATAATTCTCCACAGACTGACTGGCGCTCGTGAAAGCCAGATTCGTGAGGAGCAAGCCGGGTTTCGTCGGGGTCGTGGCTGCATCGACCACATCTTCACCTTGCGTCAGTTGTTGGAGCACCGTCACACATATTGGCGGCCCACCGTAGTCGTGTTCCTCGACATCAAAGGTGCCTTCGATTCGGTTGATCGATGTGCCCTTTGGAATTGTCTACTCAGGAAAGGTGTGCCCGAGAAATATGTAAATATTATCCAAGCATTATATGCGCGTAGCACGGGCAGAGTAAGGGCTTACAGCAGGCTGTCGCCACCCTTCAATATCTCCAGCGGTGTGAGACAAGGATGCCCGCTGTCACCTTTCCTATTCAACTTCGCTATGGACGAAGTCATGGAGATTGCATTTACAGGACATGACTTGGAAGGTGTGGAGCTACTCCCAGGAGAACGACTCCTTGACTTAGAGTATGCAGACGATATTGCCCTCATCTGTGACAGCTCCCAGACGTGCCAAGCCGCGCTGGACAGATTAGCACTGGCTGTCAGTCGCTTCGGGCTTTGCTTTGCACCACCGAAGTGCAAAGCGTTCTTCCAGGATTGGCAGGGTTCGCCCCCTGTGCTGACCCTTGGTGGGGATCAGCTAGAAGTCGTTCAGAAATTCAATTACCTGGGAAGTTGTATCAGCGCCCTTGGGATCGAAGACGAGATCACGAACCGCATAGCGAAAGCTCGAAGTGCTTTTGCTAACCTTCGCCACCTATGGCGACGGCGCGACATTACTCTCGCCCTGAAGGGTAGAGTGTACAATGCAGCGGTACGTTCGACCTTACTGTACGGTTGCGAAACCTGGCCCCTAAGATCGGCGGACATGAAGAGGCTACTTACGTTCGACCATCGGTGCCTTCGCAGTTTGGCTCACATCTGGTGGGAACACCGCGTGAGTAACGAGCGTGTTCGACGCCTTGTTTACGGCCTAGGAAAAGGGAATGAACCGCTCAGCACCGTCATTTCACTCACCAGGCTCCGATGGCTGGGCCACGTGTTGCGTATGCCAGCCCACCGACTCCCTCGACGTGCGTTGTTTGCTCACCGGGGATGTGGGTGGAAGAAGAGGAGAGGTGGCCCAGCCATGACTTGGTCCAGAGGAATGAAGGCCCTCACTTCGGAGCTGGCCTCAGTTGGAGCTTCACGGCTCCCTGGTTGGGGTCCAAAAGACGGTGAACACGTTTGGCTGGATACACTTGCTGATATGGCAAGGAGCCGACCTCAGTGGCGTTCGTGCTGTGAGTTTCTTTGTCCCTCCCCATCCCTTTAGCCTCCCCCTCCATCTACGATCTTATTTCGTAGGGTAAAACGTAATTAAATTTTTGGTTTTGCCTAGTAGCCGGCTGGTAGCTTACCGGAACGATGCCTATCCGTTGCTGGTAGTTCAGCTGGCATTCAACTGTCGTATTTATTTTTCCTTTATGTATTGTATGTATGTATGTATTTCCTTTATGTATTGCGGTACAATAGCGGAGGTGTTTTACCATCTCTAGCTGACATGTATAATAATAAAAAATAAGCACGTAAGTCAGGAGTTTGTGTTTAAAAGGACGGCAAAAGCGCGGCCTTCTAAGAATGTAGGAAATGACGTATGGATAAATGAATGGCTAATAGTTCTTTACCGCAAGTACTGTAACGAGACTCGGCAGATTGCAAACGTTTGGAAGAACGTGACTCCGGCTGCTAAGCTTTACCTTCCTGTTGCTGTAGGGCCGCCCCATCTACCATGTCAGAAGCGTCGGTACTGAGCGACAGTAGTGCTTCCAGGTTGTGATGTGCTATAGAAGCTAGGTTGGCGAGGGTTTCTTTCAATACCTGGAAGGCAGCTGGAAAGTCGAACTTTTAAGCATCCACCGGAGTAGGTCCCTGAGG